AGTACATGAACTGTCTAGAGAACGCTCCACGCAACTCTTTTCTTTTTATGTTGTCGTGGTGTTTTCTAGCATGTTGCTTGCACGCATTGTCAACGTTGTTCATGTAGCTCTTTCGGCTGCAGATCCGCATGCGCAGCTTTTTTCACACACCGCTCCCACCCGCCCGTGTGATGCAAGCTTGCGTTCCGCCTGAACACTAGCTAACACTAAGCACGCCTTGCTGCCTACCGCCTGCTACACGTTTCACTTTACGCATCCTAGTCTCACAAAGACGGGGGTGTCAGTCGCCAGCCTGCGGCTGAACTCCTCCAACCTGAGCAGCACCCGTGATAAAAATAGAGCGCTTGCTTCTTGTGCATGCTTGGATCGGCAGTTGACTAAAGTACATGAACTGTCTAGAGAACAAGTTAAATCATATGACTTATTGTTTTGCATGTGATTGTACTCACGTGTTTCACATTAGACATGCGTATACTCCCAGCATGTTCACGCAGCTCTTCATGCATTCGAAAAGATTTTCGTAAAACGTCGAAAAGACGTGTGAGTGTGCAAAACTACGCCCTTCGCAGCACCTCAAGCGATCGTCGACGGTAGCCTTCAGCCCTCAGCTTTCGTTGTTGACACCTTCCTTCCCAATCCGGGCGAGAGGCAATATTTTTGGTTGTAGCTGTGGGCACGCATTGCCGTGCACTGCACTTCTGCAACCCATGCGAGTAAGAAGAGTGAAGTAATCTTTAGACTAGAATGGAAACTAGTTCGAGTTCTTGGTAGATACAGCCATTGGGCGCAAAAAACCAAGCGGTCACTCTTACACACTCGCGCACGTGCATACCGCACGTACGCGTTTGCAAACTCCACGCAATAGGCTTGTACCGTGGATTTCAAAGTTGATGAGGCAGTGTTTGCCTCCTTCCATCTACAAGTCAAGACTTGGGTCTAGGATGTTGTTTGAAAGTTTCGGTTTGCCCTTCTGATTAGGAAAATGGTGAGAGAATCACGCGGATTGATTGCATGCATGGCATGCATGTTGGGCAGAGAGAGCACGGGTCGTCAGGCGGCAAAATTCGAATCGGGGAAGGTTTTTCCTGCATATTTGTGTTTACCCCGGTGCATCCGATTAGTCATTGCAACTGTCGCATACGCACTTTGTCCACCGTGACACGTCGGGACTGTGGGCCGGTGAGTTCCCGGTTCCGAGATTGTTTGGATTGTTGAGAGCAGCCACGGCCAGGGATGTTTGCAGCATCAGTGCTCGCACTGACCGAGCTTCTAAACTCGTTGAGGAGTGCTTTGCATCTGCATCCCGTCGCTGCGAGCTGGCTCTGAGCCAGAGCGCAGGGTTGGCCCGCGTGAGTGACTCCATGTGAGCACCCGCCAGGCCAGTGCCTCAGCCTCTTGAGCGGCCTCCGAGGGGCTCCAACTTTGAAACTTTCACTGGTCTGTGTCCGTGTCTCCGCTCTTTCCTGCGTCTCCGCTGAGGTCATTCAAAGACAGTTCGGAGATCGGATCGGAGATCGGAGTCATGACAAAGTTTCCTTCATTCCTCAGTGGAATGTTTCCTGCTAGCTCCAGCTCTCCTCCTGCAGGCAGGCGCTTCGTCTTCTGTGCCTTTTTCAGGCGGTCTGTTCTTGATGTGTTGGGCCTTGGGCTTCTGCAGGTAAGCGGAGTCCCCACTCCACAGGACGTGCTCCAGGTGCCACCAAGACTCGCTGTTTTCTTGGGTGCTGTGCTGTTGCCCGGCCTTCTTCGCAAGAAGGCGTGCCTTCTCCGCGACCCAGTGCAACCTCACCGGCCCCTCCACCTCCAGCTGCTCGGACACAATTGGACACGTCAAATACAGCACAGCACAGCGGTCACAGCGGTGAGCTGAGGCGTGGCGAACACAGGCCTGGGCCGGGCCCATTTTTCGACGGACTGTACGGAGGGCCGTCTTCCTGCCTTTTCGCCAGGAGCTAGCCGGGCAGGTGCCGCCCTATCGGGACAGCGCAGCTTCGTTCCTCTTCTGTCTGTGGTCCCGTGTGCAGGCAGTCACGAAGGAGGTTCTTCAGGAGATCTGCCTAAACACTGCCTGATCCTGACTAATCTGCTTTTCTGTCAGGAGAAGCCGACTGTAGCCTGTAGGCAGCGTAGGCAGCCTAAGAGCCCATAAGCGCCCCCTGTTTTCTAGACTCTGGACCTTGCCGTCAGGAGTCGATCGACGCGGTCACAGCCGGTGTTCAGTCATGGGATCCAGAAGAGTACATTCTAAACTCGCTTCTACAGGCACCGCGACCGCTCAAGTGCAGACTGCCAGCAATCCCAGCCAAGCCACAAGCAGGAAGCGGTTCGCAATCATGGGCGAGTGGATCTAATGCAGAAGAAGGCCTGCAGTCTGCAGCACTCTTTTATTCTTGTCATTCTTGTCCTTGCGCTTGTCGGTTCTGGGACATTGTGCCAGAGCGGGGAGAAGTTCGCCGTGAAACGGATGCCGAACAGGCTGACTTGCAGCTCTGAGAGCGCTCTGTTGCTGTGGATTCCGTGACTAAGGTGGGTTCGCGAAGGACCTACGGAATTCAATGAACAGTGCCCAAGAGGGAGGAGGGAGAGACAGGAAAGGGCAAGAGAGACAAGAACGGGAAAGGGCGTGTTCTCCTTACGCGTCTCAGGTATCCGACGGCCTCAGAACGACCTTGGGTAGATATCGGCCTGGTGAGGCAGAGCACGGCAGAGCACATGCCCATCCGGAGCATGTGGAGCGGTGCTCCGTCACTCCGTCACCGCATGGCCTCTTTAAGTGCCTTCCCTTGGCAGGCATTTGAATTCCATCCGATATCCATACGTTTGCGAGCTCATCGGTGTCTTTCGTGACGATGAGAACACGTGCTCCCTTGAGGGGGGTGAGTCTGCGAGCTTCCATCTCATTCTGCCCAATGGATCCCTGAATTTCAGGTACGTGACAGTTTCATTAGCGACGCAGGGGGATCTCTTCACTTGGTGCGATCGGGCCCGCAACTCAGCGCTTTGAAGGCGGCACCTCAGCTCCTCTTTGTGACAGCCGAGGATCCTCGCCCAGGGCCTTCGAGGGAGGCTCTGCCGTTCTCGGCTGCACTCGCTGTGCGCACAATTTCCCTTTGCCATCTCATGCTCACGCTCGCAAGGCGGTGATGCTGCCGATTGTTGGGCAGATATTCACAGCAGTTAGGCAGTGACCGCGTTTGGGGCTGGGCATGCTGCAACTCTCCGGAATGCTCTGCAGGTGGCTTCACGACTTGGGTGTTGCGCATAGAGACTTGTCGTGGGCCCCTCAGCATGTTGTGCATGAACACATGTGAATATGGCAGCAAGTGATGGGCACGAGGCTGGAGAATATTCTCTTGACCGATGCAGAAGGCATTGAGGGCAAATAGCTGACTCGAAGGCTTGCTATGAGAGCTTCTGTGGTGAGGCTCGCAGCAGGTAAAGCTCATCGATTTTGGAATGTCCACCACAAACAGGGTCTGCAAGAAGGAGGCGAGAAGGGGCCAGCGCTTTCAGCAAGAGGAGCTGCGCTGCTGGGCCAGACGGTTAGTTGTCGGTGTGCAGGTCCGTGGCAAGCAGTCCTACCAGGCCCTTTTCCACTCTTTCACTCGAGGTGAAAAGGGAGGTAAAATGAAAGGGACGCACGCTCGCTGAGGCTCCCGAGATGCACGCCGCTGCCGAATACGATGCTTATTTGGCAGACGAGTGCTGGGCTCAGTCCCCGTTTGCGAGCCGCGCAGTCGCACGCAGTCGCGCAGCGGAGGTTTGCGCTGGGTGTGGTTCTCTTTGCCATGGCAGTGCAGGCATGGCCACGGCTGCCTGCCGCATGAGCCGTGCGTGAGCCGTGCGTAAACTTGCATGTGGAGGATTATCCTTGGACTTCCACCAAGAAGAATTCATGTCAGCTCTTTGAGTACATCTCAACGTGTGGTTCCCAGTCTAGCATCCAGGAATTTCCGCACCTCTCAGCTTCTGAGGTTTGGCTTAATGAAGTTCTTGAAGAAGAGGAAGCTGCGCAAGGGCACGGAGCACCTCTCGGAGGCGCGGACCACAAATGTCAGCTCTGCCTGTGCCATCCTGTGCCCGTCTGCCAAGAGGTCTTAAGTGCCGAGCTGGCTCAGCTCATCGACTGCATGCTGCAGGACCGCGTGCAGTAGGAGACTCCAATATCTGGGGGGCACTCGGGCACTTCTTCCCCTGCGCCTGTGAGTTGGAGCCCGGCAACCGGCTGTGTCTCGGCGAGTCCTGCTTCAGCGGCGAGGCCGAGGGGCGACAAACGCGGGTCAGTAGGCTAGAGTAGCGTGCTAGGCGGCTAGGCACACGAGGTACGTCGGGCTGCTGCGCATGTGCCAGGCCCGCCGCACGGTGTGGGACGAGAACTGGATACAACCTTTCCAAGGCACGTGGTGCCCGACGTTCGCTTAGGCGCCCGTCGTGCCAGTGCCTGACCCATATCCCCCGCAGGAGGAAGGTAGCACCGCGAGGTCTGGGACTTGTCCAGTTGCGCAGCCTCTGAGCCTCGACTCGCCGTCAGGAGCGTTGAGGCGTCAACGTTCCACTTTCATTGGGCATTCCGAGCCCCGAGAGTATGCATCGGCGGTGTCTCCATAGTCATAGCAGTGCAGTTTACGAGCTTCACTTAAGGCTTGTGGTATGATCTGACCGGCTAAGCTAGCGGCGCTCTGGCACGGGATCAAAAAGTATCCTGTGCATCTTATGAGTGTTTCACCACTCGTTTCAGCAGTTGAACTGCTGATAAAACCCGAGTGATAGAGCACTGCCACGTTTTTAAAGCCAGAGGCGGCTCGGGCACTTGCCCCATCCGTCCTTGACTGGAGCTGGAGCGCTGGAGCTCATGCTGGAGCTCATGGAGCCTTGATGTTGTCTCCAGCTTCTGTCAGCACGCGAGTTCCACATCTGAAGTTGGACGGAGACAAAACGAGATGCGTCAATCAGGACAGGAACTTTTACGCTCCGTCCATCGTAGTCTTCGGTTTGCAATTTCTTTGCACGGCATTGTGAACTTGTGGCATGCATAGCAGACTGCCTTTTGGCCTGCTTCGCAGCATGTCCAGCAGCGTGAGTACATGCCATAGATCAGCCTGGTTTGCAGCAACCTCGTCCTTGAAGATGAAGGGGAGGAGTTACAGGTTGCTCTGAGCGAGGCACCGCTGCGCACCAACGTTGACCCAGAGCAGGGCCCCGGCTCCACTAGTTGACTGTGACCACTGTGACCGTCACAGAGCATATATATTTCTGACTAGAAGCAGTGTTGTTGAGTGTTGTTGTTTTCAGTGAGGGCAGCTTATGGATGCTAATAATTTTTGAAAACATGACTCATGGCGAAGCTGAAACGGGCAGCCGGAAAAAGAAGGGCGCCCCGCGCGAGACAGTGTCTGAGCCGCCTCTGCATTTCGGGGTCGCCTGCAGGTTCGAAGCGAATCCTTGGGCGATAATCAAAACGACAGCAACAACGCACAACTCGAGTCTTGAACCTGCACCAACACGAAGGACATGCCCACAACAACCAAATTTCAACCCCGACAAGACACAGAAAATAAGCGGCCAGCAGGCTGGCAAGCCTTCTTTACCCGTAGTTGCTGGGACGACGGATTCTTGCATTGTTTGCAGGATATGGTCAGGTTTTGTTGGGATTTCATTCGCTGCAGGGCTTTGCGGAAGCGCCACCTGCTTTGCTAGCTGCCAGATGCTGGATCGTCAGTTGGAATCCTTGGAAAAATTCGTGTGCGTAGCAGGCCAAGGAGACTTGTCAAGTTCTTGCTGTTTGGCGTTTCCCCGGTCTCGCAGCTCCCGGACAGTTTGCACGGTTCGAACCCACCGGCGCCGGGACACCAGAAATGGCAGAAATCTAGCCTTTTCACCCTTTCAATTTGCTTCGGCGCCTTCGCACCTTCGGGCCCGGACGACGCCGTGCTCCGGAAGCTCCTGTTTACGTGACGTACTACGTGTCTCTGCCTCCAGACGAGTGATCATGAGAGTAATCTGGTGGAACAAGAAAGAAAGTCCAGCCCTGGCCCTGGACGGACCGTCCGACGTTGAACGTGATGGACAGGCAGGGTGAAAGACAAGAGACACAGGGGTCCTGGGCAGCAGGAAAGACAAGAGAGGCATACTTGTCATGATTCTGTAGCAGCTGGCAAGCAGGCTGTGCTTGTGATCGGTTGCATCTGCTCGTAGCGTGCCCAACTGCACTCTCAGAGTCCAAACTGAATGTCGGCCCAGAGCGGCTCAGCGACGGTAGGAGCATGCTATTGCTGCTATTGTTCCTATTTCATTGGCATGTAGAGGTTCCACGCTAGCCATCGCTAGCCGCCGCCAGAGAATGGTACGAGGGATGAGGATCCTCCTCCTGGTGCTGGCCCTGGTGCCAAGCGCCTCGGCTCAGCGATTCCCGGATCATCCGGGGATTCCCCTCGGAGACGAGATTCCGGGAGACTCAGGCCTGAGCCTGAAGATGGAGTTGACGGACAGCAACTTCAAAAAAGCCCTGGAAGGGAAAAACGCCAGGGGCCTCGGGGGCCATGGCACATGACATGACATGAGCGCCTGAGTCCTTGGGAGGCCTTCGTGTTCTTTCAGGCGCCTTGGTGTGGTACGAGCCTGAGGACAGCTGCTGAGAGACGGTTTCAGATTGGTGATAGTTCCAGGCCACTGCCGCAAGCTTCAACCGGAGCCACTCCGAGCGCAATGGAGTAAGTGGAATTTTCCGTCCCTGCACTTCTCTGTCAGAGGTGGGATCAGATGGCAGCAGCTTGGCGTTCTTATGCCTCTACAGTATAGCGGCCATTCTAGCTGCCGCTGTGGAGTCACTGCTTGCCTGCCACCAACACCCGCTAGCTAAATGTCGGCCCTACCCTCCTCCGTGTGTTTGTTCCTTGTCAAATCTAGAAACAGCAACATTCCTTTGATGTTGGAGCGGATCGTTAAACGTCAGCACGCTTGGAGAGCAAGTCGCTTTCGGCCTGCAGCTGAGAAAGTGTATGCCGACACGCCCAATGTCATCATTGGGCAGGCGCGAAAGCACAGTGCCGGCTTCTGGTTGTGAGTTTTGTTGAGACGAGCTCGTCTGGAAAACAAGAGCATGATCAGTATCCACTGTTTCGAGGCGGACTGCAGCGGAAGTGGCCAGCAATTCTGTGGGGTGCCTCGGCCAGCAGAGACAGCCATCAGAGCCTGTCCAGCATGTCCGATCTGAGGAGAACGGCGTTCAGGGCTACCCAACCTTGAAGCTTTGGAAGGCGCGGTCTGCACTCTCCTGCAAACTCTGCAAAGTACCTGCGTGCTGAGTGCGCAGAGGATGGACGGATGGCAGACTACAACGGAGGCCGTGACTTCCAAAGCCTGAAGCGCGAGGCCGGGGAGGGCGGGGGCCGGCCGGGAGAGGGGCCGCGCCGCCCTGCGCCGCCCTACTTGAGGTGGAGCGGAAGCTGGATCCACGCCCGGCCTGTAGCCTGGAGTCCAAGGCCTCGCGCGTCGCTTCGCGCCCCCGCGCGCACGCGTCCGCTGTGCCGCAAAGCTGCGTCAGGAAGCCTGCACACCAGAGGCCCCACCCGGGATCTGGCAGTCGGCAGCGGTCCGTGTCCGTCACATCGCGATACCGTGTTGCGGCGTGGCTGTAGAAAACCATGCTTTGACATCAATCAATGCAGAAGCCCCAAGGCCAAAATCAGAAAGCGAGGGACCTGGAATGAAACACACACGCACAGGGCGGAATCTGAAACGAGGAGTAATTCCGTGTCCCAATCAATTCCCTAGCCCCCCGATACCCTCAAAACAGTTTAGAAGTTTAGCACGGAACCTGTTCCGTCTGTGCGCTGCTGGCTGAGATCGCCCCCAGCTTTTTGGTTTCCAAAGCTGTCGCTCCTGTCGTTTAGGGCATTTTAGGGTCTGATACCAAACGAAGAGTTGCGGCCAGGCCCCCAAGGACACTTAACAGTGTTTTGATTCTAATCCACGAAACCTGAGAGTCCTGTGTAGCTTCACAGCCACAGGGCCATCGGTGATGAAACCCCATGCCTTCTTCGTCAGCACTGCCTCCGAAGCCACCTGGGTCAACGCAACAAGTAGCCCAAAGCCCCGTCGACATAGACACGCCCAAAGGATACGCTCCTGCGGGTCTTGCGGTCCTTGGCGAAGTTGCCGTCACTGACCGCTTCCACCAAGGCATGGCTGGGAGCATTGTAGTCCATGGGAGAATGGAAATGCCGGAGCGGTTCTTCAAGGTCACGCCATAGCTGCGAGCCGGCCAAACGCTCAGGATCTCAGGGCTCTGCTCGCTCATCTATTGCTTTGTCACCCAGTCGGTGTTCCAACCGTGGTTGAGTAAGTATAAGGGCGCTGACTGCACAGCCTGCAGCGCCCTTTCTGCTGGTTTTGCGAGTTTGCAAGGTCAAGCCTCTTGTAACGCTCAGGATCTTCACCGACTGCGGGGCAGTTTGCCTTGGGGGCCAAACATTGAATGACCGTCGGGTCTCTCATTGCTCAAGTAGGAGCTAGTCGACCATCGTTCGGAACATTATGGAATCAGCCACGTCCAGAGGTTGGGCCGTGTCTACGTGGACCAAGCTGTCGCTGCCGCCTGGCCCCGGGTAGTCCGAGCACGTGGTTGCCCGAGCATCTCGTAGACGTCCTGGGAGAGGGGCCCTGCACTTTCATGTCGTATTCGCGCTTCAGCGTGGAGACGACTTTGCTGGTGGGCTCGTTATCGCCGCTCATCATCATAGACTTGGGAAGCTCAGTTAAGGCGAGGCCTCCTTGCAGCTGGCACCACCGAACTTGAGCTGCACCCCAGCTCAAAGTACTTGCTGTCGATGAGCACCACGGCGTTCCCCACTCTTCAGATCTCTCTTGAGAAGGATCAAGCGCCGCGACGAAGACGCTCTCCATGCCGGCGAGAACGTCCCCTCATCACCCATCTGGCTTGCCCATTTGTGCTGGCGGGCAATAAGTCTCGCTCTTCGCCACCGTCAAAGGTCATGGTGAGCTTTTCGTAGTGGTCCAGCTCCTGGCTCGGCTCGCAGAGCCTTAAGGCGCTCGTTCCAGAAACAATCGGATCGTAGCCCAGCGCCGCAAGCTCAGCTTCAGACAGAACGGGGAGGTCGTCACTCAGTTGCCCGACCACTTCCCACTCATCATCCTCGGCTGGGGCCTGTTTGCGCAGCCGTGGCTTCAAACCAATCCGCGTCGACGGTCTCTGGCCCTGAGAGTTGGGGGCGGCCTGCACATCGGAACCTCTGAGTCATCAAAAGAATTTCAAAAGCACCGGCAGGATCGGCAAGAGGCGCGGCAATCGGCGTTGCGGGGCCGTGTCCCAAGGGAGGCCGCGGTACTTCTCGAGGAGCTCAGTTGGACTTCCTGGGATGAACGACGAATTGACGTGGCCTCCGCGGCTCCGCGGCACCGTACTCGGTCGTTGATCAGTCATGCACGATATTCATTTCTGGATTATACCCGGTGAGTACCTCGGTTCATATGTGAGGGAGCCGGGATTCCACTTTGCCACGTACTCTTCTTGCCCTTCAAGCACCCAGACGAGTCGCGTTGTCTCCCCACTAAACGGCTGGTTCATCAGGTCCTTCCGGCAGGCGTCTTTAGGCATCCGCATCCGTGCCATACACTCCTGCACATAGTCTGTCGGACTGCAGGCATTGGCCGCAGCGCTTACGGAGACCAGCATGTTGTCAGGTCATGTTTGTGCTTGCTGGACTTGGGGCCGTCGGGGTCCGCTGGCTCCGAGGCTGGCTTGGGGTTGGTGGGGTCTTATGGACTAAGCCTGGTTTGCCTGCCTCGGGCCTGGCTGTCTTGCCTGACTGGCTCTCGCTGCTACCGCCTTGATGTTCCTCGCCAGAGTGTAGAGGAGGTATCCCGCGACAGATCTATGTCTGTTGGCTTTGCACGCTAGACAGATTCACGCAGCCCAAAATGTACCTGAAATGCTCGGTGAATCGCTATCTCTTGTGTTATGTCAGGATTCGACCCCAAGCCAAGGGGTTCCTATGTTTTTTGGTCATCAATAAGTCAATGAGGCGTTGCCGGGCCACGAGGTTCTCAGTCAAGGTGTCCAGCCGCCTATCGCAAAGGTAGGTCATATCAAAGAAGACCGCGAGCCAGGAAGTCTTAGATCTGGACTCTGTCACTGGAGAAAAACCTCTCGTAGAAGTTCTTCTGCTCCCAGCGGTCGGGGATATGCCGGGGTGGCCGTAAGTAAAGATGTCGACGATCATCTCGGGAAAAACGAGCGAGCAACACTGGATTTATTTCCAGGCCTGGAACAGCAACGTCGAACCCAGTCACCGTCACCGGTACGACATGCTCGGGTGCATCTGCCATGGCAGAATCTCGCGCAAATGAACCTACAGCCCCTTGGCCTACGGGTTTATGCGCAAAAGCGCAACAGGCTTCAGTCATGAGTGCGATGCATTTGGATGGGTATCACAGTGTTGTTCGAGGGGAGGTGCGCTTGAGGATCGCTGGTTCGCAAGTCCTTGCACACGCCTACGTAACTGTAAGTTGTCCTGTGCGTATAGCGAAAAAAGCGGGTTGTGCCTTTGATTTCATGTGAATCCAAATGCCTTCCAATGCAGATGACTGATCAGTTCCCGAGAAAGAGAAAGGTATGGTCCTTGAATCCGAGGTCACTGGCCCCACCAAACCCTTGAACCTTCTGGACTTCTGGACCATTCGGGAGTAAACCTTGCGCTACAGCCTATGTTAGCAAGCTTCCGTGCAGCGTTAGAGACCCAGCTCGAGCCGTGGACCGTGCTATTGCAACCTTCGTCTAACACCGGAAACACATGCTCCGAAGTGTAAATATCCACTGCGAGAAGGTTGACTAGGGGCTTGCGTCGGTGACAGTCATGAAAGCAAGGTGCCCTACCGGCCCTGCCTGGAGGGGGTGTGATCTGCTGATGCGACCTCACAGCTGGTGTTCGCCGAGCTCGGGTAGTGGTGCTTTCTGTAGGCAGGCTATGAGATCACCCATCGTTATAGAGGGTTCCGTGACAACGACTTTCTCTCCCTGAACTGGTCTATCGAGCGCCACTACGTCTACGGTAGGTCCTCGCTCGTACGGCTCATTCTGGACCGAAGCACATCAACGTCTAGCGTTTTAGACTCCTTCAATGTTGAGGCTAGCTCTTCTCGCGCCTTTCTCTCCTCGTGGGCCCGTTCGTCCAACCGTATCCTGCGCAACTTACACTCAGCTGGAGCCAGCCTCTCGGTGGAGGTGCTCATGCAAATGGCTGGGTCAACAACGGACTTCTCTTTCTTCGTCTTAGTGACCATGCCACATTCCTTGTATGTCCACATATCCATGTCTGCGCTACTCCCCGACTTGCTGAACTCCCTGCGACAACACCGACATGCTGCGTGAGACTGTGGCCCTGCACTGGACGATGCTGGCAGCTGCGCTGGTTCAGGAGGGGAGATGCCTTAGAGGCGTTTCTATACACGTAGCATCATGAACAATGAAGTAGTCTTTTAAAAATGTCGAGTAGTCAGCTACAACTAAGTTCTTGGACGGGACTTCTCTTTGCGACCCCCAATTTATGTCCGGGGTATGTGTATAACACTCTTCCGCGAGTGAGACCTCGGTGCTGTCCGAAAGTGAAGACTGCTGGTGCCGTGGTAGCCATTCTCCTCAGTCGCTGCAAAACCAAAGCCTAAAGAACCTAACCTAAACCTTACATGGCCTGGATCCAGGAACCAGGTAACGACGCAGCTTCAGTGTGAAAGACACGCCCTTCGCAGAGCGCCGGTTACCAAAGTGGGGAAGTGGCCGCTACACAAGCTGCGACTACCACGAGTTGCATGCCCGCTGGTGAGCGTGAGGAACGGGAGGGATGCAACTCATGCCTGAACTGATTGTACCTGATCGAACTTGATACTCTCCGAGCGAGGCTGGACCTCAGCTGGCTCGGGCCAAGAACAGTTGGTCAGTTGCTAACCGCCCGAAAGGGCATCTGAAAACCTGAAGTAGGATTAGGGCTGTACTGCCGCACCTGGGCCCTTGTACAGATGCGGGAAGGGCCGCGCAGAAAAGGCGAACATGCAAGAGAGATGCAACACACGCCTGAAATGATTCTACCTGATCGAGAATTCGAGAATGATGCCGGTCGCCTGAACCGTTGAGCCAAAATCTTGGGTCACATTCGGGAACCCGCACTAAACCATAACTAAAATGACAGCGAGTTCCTCTACGAGAACCAAAAATGAGACAAAGGCCACGAGCTCCGTCCCTACGGAGCAGATCCTCATACTGGGACGGTATTTGAAGCCGATTTGAAGCCGGCTTCAAATGGGCTTCAAATGCGATTCCCCAATACTGGGACTGTTTTTGAACGGCATGTGAAGCCAATTTGAAGCCGGCTTCAAGAGGGCTTCAAATGCGATTCCCCAATACTGGGACGACTTTTGAAGCCGGGGGGACTCGAAGCCAATTTGAAGCCGGCTTCAACGGGGCTTCGGACACTAAAGCAAATTCGGATTTTGGTTAATGGACTCTGAAACCCTA